TCTAGTTTAGTCACAATTAAATATAATAGTGCGCCACATAAACTCATTAATTTCTCTTGTCCATCTTTTTCACGCGCGCGCTTAGTGCCAGCAGTGGGTGCAGTTTTTGTGGTGTTTGCCAACCACACAACATCTGCTGGACTGGTCAAAGAAAAGGCTATCATTACTGAAAAAGTATTTGGGGAGTACAAATTAGAACTATCGAAAATTATCTCATCGGATTTACCGGGGGACGCATACAAGTCGTTAGCTGAAATGGGTGAGGTAGATCGTGATTTTTGCCTAATTAGATTAGTTTTATTTTTAATCAGATTACGCACCGAAGCATTTCGGCCCCGAAGATTATATCTCGTACTTATTTCTTCTATGATTGTGTCATTTGGAAATACTGGATTGGCTGGCGAAGTAGTTGTCACAAACAGCTGTTTCTGTTGTATACCTACTTGACAACGCGTTCATACACCACTTAAAGATGCCTGGGTACTTAGTAAGTAATCGTCGGCTATAGTCAATTCATCGGGGAGAACCCGCCTGCTCAGTCCCCCACCGACAATGGTTCGTATGCTGCCTTTCCTAGCATTGGCTCCAGGTAAGCCCCGGCAACCCCCGGATATCGACCGTAAACTATATATCTCTTGACTTTCTTTAATTTTAAACGAATAGAGTGTTGGGACACTTAGTTTGGGAGTGATTATGGTATTATTGATTTAATTGTTGCCAGTACCTCAGTCTAAGGGTTTCCAGCTGGTCGGACTACATAGATATAATGCACTTTGCCCTTAAGCCCATCCCTTTATTTAAATTATTATTTTTTACTAATTACCTACTTATGCCATTTTCTCCAGGATAAAACTATAGGCATTTTCAGAAATATTTAGTCTACAAGTTAAATTTCATACATGTTTCATTCAAAATCCTACGGTTTTTTTGTATAGGTAGTAGGTATTTCTTTTTTTACGTATTTACATAGACAGCAAAATAGTAGCTGTTGTAATTGTTAAAGTAGAAAAGAATCTTACCCTAAATAATTCATTCAGTAACTACTAGTCATTTTTTTTGTTTCAGCCCACGGTCCTTCCTTTAACCTTTTTCAAACCTAAAATGACAAGCTATAACTGATATTAAACCTTATGGCAATAGTCGTAAGTCGTTATTGTACCGTATACTAAAACGGCTATATCCGTAGAAGAGTATTCAGATCTTCCGTTTCCAAATTAGCCCCTAATAGACGAACTGCGTAATGACGAATCTCGAAATTGACGAAATGCGTAGTGACGTATCTCGAAATGGACAAAATGCGTAGTGAGTGATGAATCTCGAAATGGACGAAATGCGTAGTGACGAATCTCGAAATGGACAAAATGCGTAGTGACGAATCTCGAAATGGATGAATCATATAATGGACGAACTGCCTATTGAACGTCTAATAAATCGTTTGATGATTAGTGTTTTATATTATTTTAATAGGGGGCCTACCACCTATCAGGATTGCTTTGGCATTGATTTTGTTATTTCTGGACGTCAAAGGTTTTCAAATGCCTTGCGTTTTTTTTGCATTGGTAATAGCAATATTAAAGAAAATGAGCGCGGGGTATTTAAGAACCTTCGGCGGTCAAATTAAGAAACTGAAACCATAAGCTATAGCAATAGCCAAAGCAATCCCGATATGCAGTAGGCCTCCTGGTGACAGAAAAAAGGGTCAAACACAAGTTGTTTTTAAGTATTTTTTTCGATATAGCTATATAAACATTTTTTCAATCAATAAGAAATACGGGTTTTACCGAATCAATATACCAAAGTTAGCATAATATCAAGTGCCATCAATTGCCGGAGCAAATGTGTTCGTTACCTAGCGAAATCGTAGGTCCACGGTTCGTTACTCAAACAGCCACACGATATTAGTAATGCCGGTAATATAGTGGTCCAATCACTTTAAGGGAAAAAGGGGTCAATCTCGGAATTTGAGATAATAAGCTGGAAACTCGTGTACAGCTTCATTTTGTCGTTCTTAAAGTTGTCTAAAAAGTCTCGTATTATTTCGTGCCTGCGTCGTAAGTTATTCGAGGCCAAAGGTCACGAAAATCGGTTTTATATAATTATCTCCGTTTCTATGGTTCCTATCACTTCAACGCTTATTATAAAAATTAAAGATAAAAGAAATTGCCATAACTTTTGTCTGTACTATTTTTCTATATGCTAAGCTCTTTTCGAGATAGAGGGCGGAGAGCACCCAGCGCTCAGGCATACATACTGTTACCCAACCGTGAATAACATCTTGTACAGACCTTGTTTACCTTATATATATATACCTTGTATTGCAAGACGATCCCGTGGTAACATCTCCATTTGATCCAGAAATTTTAGAAGGTTTGAAGACAATGATGCAGGAAAACGAAGACGATGAAGATGAAATTGGAATTTTCAATTTCCCAGGAGATGATGATGAAGAAGAAGAAAAAATGACCCTTTTTTGGACACAATAATATACCTATAAGTTATGGTATATAAGGTAAAATTTTAACACTTACTGTTTGATATAGATATGGTAAATGTGGTGTTTACCTATAATTAATAGTAACATTGAAGTGTCTTCGTATCTATAATTGTAATTGCTTAAGTGTTACAATTGTTGGTAAACCTTTTAATTAAATAAAATTTTAATTGTAACAAAAGTACAGCTACTAAATAAAAATATTTACTTGATTTATTTCTATTTACAATATATCTATCTATCAATCAATTTTATTTAAAATCTATTATCGAATAAAATTAAATGAATTTATTATATAACATCGTTCAATACAATTTATTAACTAATAAATAATACAAATTATTTATTGTTGATAATATTTTAATGATTTAGTAACTGTATACAACGTATTATTCACCGAGATTCACGATTGGCCTTGTATTACAGTATATATGCCTGAGCGCTTGGTGCTCTCCGCCCTCTATCTCGAAAAGGGTTGAGCGTATAAAAAAAAAGTTGAGACAAAAGTTGTACTAATACCAATACTAAAGTTTTTTATAACATAATGTACGAGCATTTTGCCACAGGCTACTATTCAATTATTATTCAAATATACCGGATATTTGAATAATAATTGAATAGCGTGACAATTATATATTATGTATATCTTTATTTTTGGACTAGCATAACGTGGATCAGTAATACGAATACGAAATTGTGATAAAAAGGAATCTTTAATATCCTTAAGAAACCAGAACGTATAAATATTCTATAGAGGGTGCTTTTAGGATATTTTTACCCAACCACAAAAAGCCTGCGCAGACGAGGGACTTTTTTGTCCGCCGTTGTATATAAAATAGATTGCATACAATTGCATCAAATAGCACACATGAGATATAAAAAATCCCGCGTACAGAAAGTCTCTAGAACATCCGAGGATACCGAGACACCGAACAGGACAAAAGTACATGAGAGTTCCCGAAAAAAATAGAACTCATGTGACTAGGCGCCCAACGCACACAGCGAACTTATAATACCTATGCAGCGCGAGTAAGGAGGAAAGTGGGCATGACGAGTATGTAAACACGATACTCGTCATGCCACTGCCATTGCCACTCGCGCTGCCCGGCGCTCCCCAAAAGAGCGGTTTTTTGTGCGGAAGTCAAAGGACCGGCAGCGCGAGTGGCAATGCGTGTTCACACTCTGCGCGTTGCTTAGTTCGCGCCACGCGCTTGGTGGAGAAAGATGTGAAATTAAAAATTATTAATTAATTAATATTTATTCATATTAAAATTATTAATTATTTAAATTTCGAACATAATTATGGATTGCAAAAAGACACAGCGCGGCCGCTGTTATTACTTCGACGTCTGCCATTGCCGAAACTCTGAAGCGAAGTGAGAGGTAGCGCAGTATGTAAACACATACTTCTCTCAATCATGCCGCAGCAATATTTAGGGAATTATTGCCGGCAACTGAAAGTGCAGCAGCATGGGCATAGTCTAAACGAGGTATAATTGTCCACATTTCGTGTTCGATCCGATTTAAAAAGATGTACCCAGTATTCTGGTTTTAAAATGTAGTCTCTTTTTCTTAAACTTCATGTTTATCACAACATAACGTAAACTGAGAATATTTACATCCATAGACATAGAGTGTGCTTTTGCAAAATTTTTGGGGGACAATTGTTGGCACATCGTGTGCGTTGAGTCCGTGACAAGCCCACGGCGGACATTTTCTTCACGATATATCGTAAACTGAGAATATTTACATCCATAGACATAGAGTGCGCTTTTGCAAAATTTTTGGGGGACAATTGTTGGCACATCGAGTCCGTGACATGCCCACGGCGGACATTTTCTTCACGATACATTTTGGAAATTGCAAACGAAGGGTGCATATGGTTGGTTTTAAAAAGAAAAAGTTTATGATATCGTTTTAACGAATAAAATAAGCTTGACTTGATAACGGCACTAGTGGTAATCCATATTTATTTTCAAATTTAAAATTTGGAAAACACATTTCGTTACTTGATTGCCATTCTTAACTCAATTAAAAATTTGAATTCTCATTATAGCCACCCTTTGCGGACAATTTTACAGCACTAGCTCTCTGAACTTTTTTTAAAGCTTTTATTAAACTTGCAATTTATTTATGTCTTTATATTCGGGTCAAATCTGTCAAATGAATTTTAAAGCACTCATCCTCACCCGATTAAGATGAAACTTGGATACACGTTTCGTTTAGATGTCAGGGTGTGGTAAGTTAAACGACTTCATTCTAAAATCCAATATAGTGGATGGCCCAATATATCGAACTAGTAATTTACTTTGCATTCCCAAGATATGAGCATCAAATGAAAGGGTTTGTTCAGAATAATAAACATAAACTAACGTCTTCTTTCAACTACCTTCTTTTTATAGCATTTATATATATATGCTTGTTTTACGATGTTTTTAAATTATATTATTTTATTCTTTTAATTATGTAAAACGTTTTCGAATATCCATAAATCAAAGGATCTCAATACCGTCTTTGTCGATCATGTAGCCGTTAGTTTCTTCAAGTCGCAGCGGCTCCCCTATGTGGTATTGCAGTAACTTCAATTCAGGGTTGATTGTGACCCCAGCTTCGCTCCAACGGAACCTTACTTTCTGGTTGCTATAGGAAACTGAAAGAAGAATAAGAATAATTAGTTACGATGTTAAGATAAGTTAGGTTACTAAAAAAAGAAAATGTTTCTTAAAAAAATTGACTTGTTTTGACTTGGTTGTATTGCAACTAGAATTCAACTTGCGTCTTTCGCAATCCAGGGATTGCGTTAATAACTATTATGTTTTCAAATATGCAGCGAAAACGTGTTTATAGCAAATATGGCGCCTCACAGGCAGGTGACGCCACACGGCTCTCATTTAAACGTCAAACAGTACAAAGTAATGTTACTTCAACAACATGTTTACAAGCAGATGTCCAGACACGAAGATAGCTGATACAGCAGTTCTCTCTGCCACACCAGCCATCCTCACTCTGCCGGCCTGCATTCCTTCTCCTGTGCTCATTTAGTTTAACAATTTTCTGATGTAGATACGGACTGTATACTTTAGTTACTTCCATAGTATTGCATCCTATGGCATTTTTCCCTGGGAACCAGCAGCAGATATCGAAACGACATTTATTTTGCAAAAACGTGCGCTACGCTAACCGCTTCGTTACGTAACGCGTTACGGCGCCATTCTGTCTGGCTTCCCTTCCTCTCAGGCATACGGCAGTGGTACGCAAGATCCTCCTCTCTCAGTCTAACCCGCTGCGCCGCTTAGATTAGTTTAAGTCATCACTTCTGTCGTGAGTCCCGAGGCGCACACGTTTTTCCATTTATGTTTCAGATTAATAAATTAATGTTTTAGACAGATTTAAAATCTTAATTTTAAAAATGTAGTGTTTTAGAATGATCATGTATAGCACCCTGAGAATTCAGAAGAGTAAAGATACAAAGCCTAATATATCATAACTGCTTCGCTTTCTGGTGCCATTTTGTGTTGGATCGTGTATCAAATATCCTATTCAGCTATCGTAACAGACGAAACGATGTTGCCTTGCAATTTATGGACCACATTTAGATGAGTTATTTGCAGCAGGAAGCTAAATATCTTATACCATATGTTATAGGTTACTAAATGTATTATTTTGAAGATAAAATATGTTTAAAATGTTTAAATATATTTCTGCTATGAATACTTATAGCACAAATAATACACACTATAGTCTTAAACCAAGAACACAAAAATATATTATCTTTATTAATTTCTATAATTATTACAATTTCTGCTGAGTTTGTGAATTCTTTTTGAAGTGAAACTTCTTAACGCACGCTTGACTTGGGGGGTAAGCTGGCTAATGCGTTACGTGTTACGAAAAGTGTGTTCGGGCGAGGCGAATGAGAGTTGAGTGGAAGATATAAGCGAGAGAAAACAGTGCGCGCGCATATTTTATACAGATGGAGCAAAATAAGTTTCACTTTAGTCATGTAGAACAGTTATAACCTGTAGCACACCCATATGAATATATTGATTTAAATCGTTTATCACAAAATATCAACATAAGTACTTTTTATGGAATTATTGTCCGTTCAAAGTACGTAGACCTTATAAGTACCTTTATTTGAATTAATTTATAACATCTAAAATTGTTAAGGTTTCATAATTAAACAATTAGTGAGTAAACATGACTCCATTTCACGAAAAAAAAATAGCTTGTAAAGTTTCTTAGGCAACACAAAATTCACGGCGTATAATATCATTATTTTATTTCACTTCATTCACACGTTTTTCACTTGAGGATTGCATAATATAAGTCGCGGCACGAAACTCTAGGGCTGACCGTTATTACGCAGAACCCGCAGAAGTAAAAATTAAGATGTCTTGAGGAAAACGAGGTGCGCGGATGGGCGTGCGTTGCGCCGATTGGCTCTCCAGTCGTACCCATGCGCAGCTATCCCCTCCGCGTTTTGTTCAGCGCGTGAGTTACGTGCCGCGATCAACGATATTTAATACCCTAGATACACCAACACGAACAAAATCGTGCTCGAAACCTGTCCAAAAGGTACATTGAACGATCCACGGAGCTCCGTAAGATGATCGTGTAGTCAAAATCAATATAAGGCATTATTTAAATATTGAAAGTAACCTTTAATACAAACTGTATAAGGTCTTAAATAAAACGTATGCACCAAGGACTTCTGACAGTTCGAAATGCAAGCTCGTAAATATTTACGACTTATTGCTATATGCGGAAGAATTTAGACCTTAGTTCTTTGACTCTACGCTCAATTTCAGGCATGCTTGATCGGGACACATTTTGAGCGCTCGTGGTGTATCTAGGGTATTTAATATCGTTTGGGGAAATAACCGCTTTTGCCTCAATGAAATAACACTACCTTTTGGTGATGTTGTGTTTCAGTTGGTGTGTTTTTGTTAAAAAGGTGACATACAACGATATGGTCCGCCTAAAGGTAAGCGGCCTCTATAGCCTATAGACGCTTGCGATACCAAAAACATCACTCACACCGTTGTTTACCCTGACCCAATCCCCTACCCCGTGGAGTTCGGGCACCTTACTCACCGACAGAAACACAGCATCACCAAAAGAAATGTTATTTTTATGTGGTATTCCCTAAGGTGGAGGTTACTTCTCCAGATGGACGCTACAATTCGAGCGGAAAAACCGCTATGCCCAACCTTTATTTTGGGTATTGGGAGAAACCTCATGTCGCGTTAGTGAATGTGTTCAGTCTGTGATTATAGAATTTAGCAGCTTATCTCTATGGCCGGTCGTTGTATGGGTCACCGAAATTTTAACACCTCAAGCTCCTTCGCGTTTCGTAAAGGCTGGTTTACGCCGAGCGAGGCAACAACATGCGACAGCAGCATATGCTACATATTGAGGCTAGGGTCATCTGGTGGCATGTTACAAATGGAAAAAAATTGCGGCATTTGCAACATGCGGCAGTCTATTTTACGCCGAGGTAACATCGTACCTACATCATAATGGTGGAATGCGCCTATGGGGTATTTTTATTTTCTTTTTGATGCTCTCTTCATCTAAATCTTGTCTAGTGCAAGACCAAATAAAACATCACGTTTGAGTGTATTGTTTTTATTATTTGATTTGCGGACATCCTACAATAATTCACTATTTCTATAATTTTCAATGAAGTGTCAATATTTTTTATTACACCACTCTCACTCACTACAATTCTCACTATAAAAAATAAATACAAGCAAAACATAATTTTTTTTTTAAGCAGAAGGAAAAACCTCAGCCATTTCCCGCATTTTTTTAAGTAGGCAACGAGTTTTATGACATTTTTTTGGTTTTTGATTTGGAACTGTAATAAACCTATTGTGTTTTAATCAATCAAGCCCTATTTAATAAATCCTACAAATTAATTCATATCAAAAGTAGGTATTAAGGTTTTTTATTATTATTAAAGCTATTAAATCTAGTTTTTCAAATTTAACCTTTCAGATTGACTTTTTAATTACCACTTTAATTCCTTTGTATATATTAACAATGAACCCCTTAATTTTGTAAAAAATTGAATCATTTCAGATTTTGTAAATTGTGGGAAATGAATAACATTCTTGCAGTACGTATTTTACTATCCCAAGATATTTTAAATGCGCTTAACATGTTCTTTGAGTTCCTTGTTCTGGCGAATAGTTGGAGTTGAAGTTCAGCAAACTTTGAACTTACAGCTTTCAATGTAGATAGGGCACGACTGTATGTCCATTGGATAGAGTTGAAATTCCATTTGGCAGGCGATGATCGCGTGCATCCTGGCCGCGTACCGCACCGTTTGGTTTCTGTACAATGTGACGGATGAGAACTTGTGCGTTAATTCTGCAATTTCTGTGGGCAATGAGAAGCAAAAGACAAACATTAAAACAAAATACACGTTTTGATGCTCCGGCGATCAATTTTCGCTTGCACGACAAGTGATGCCAAGCAATAGTCAAACTTTAGAACACGGTCAGAAAGGTGACTATTGCTAAGCGCGACTTATCATGAAAAAGGAAAATGTTCGCGATAGCGCGACAGGTTGTCCGTAGTGTAATATGTAAGATTATAAAAGCATATTTTTTTCCCCAGTTTTTTTTAATATTTCACCTATTTATTCTTTGATATTAAATTAAAAACTTACTACTCTATTTTTTATAAATATCTTATACATGCATAACTAGATCGTGTTGTGTTTCTTAATATCTTTTATTTATATTCTCAGAATTTGCTCTAATATTGCCAATAAAATAATGTGCTCAAAAATTAGCAGTACGGTGAAGTGATTTAAGAGCAATTAAAGGTGGTCCACAAGATAAATCTTTTTACATTGTCACTAATAAACTTATGAAAATTATTAAAATATTAAAGTTATTAGCGGGATTGCTACCCATTGTTTTTGTGAGTCCCCGATATTTCGTAACGTTAATTACTATAATGTTAGTGACCATGGAATTTTAAAACAATATGAGAATATGTTTATCTTTTTATATTTTACATAAAGTGATAATTGCCATATTTATGATTGTGATTCAATTGATTGTGAATTCAAGCACAGACTTTGTGCGTGCAGTGCTGAATCTCTTTAATCATAAAAAATTATCCTACCAGAAAATTGATGCCGGTAGTACATTCCACCTCCTAAAACCACAACATTTTAATGTTAGAATTGTTTATTTTATTCTAATTTGTACATAGGTATTTTAATATATACCTACTAGCGGCCCGCCCTCGCTTCGCTTCGGTGTAGAGCTGAAGCGTAGACTACAGTTTTTGTTCTCAGGCTTGTTTTATGCACAATGACATTCATCTATGATTCTTATACCTGCATGCAAAGTCTCAGCCCATTCGGTTTTAAAATTGACAAAGTTTCATACAAACTTTCATTCCCTATTTTATCCCCTTGGGGGTAGAATTGATCAAAATCCTTTCTTAGCGGATGCCTACGTCATAACATGTACCTGCATGCCAAAATTCAGCCCGATCCGTCCAGTGGTTTGGGCTGTGCGTTGATAGATTACTACGTCAGTCAGTCACTTTTGAGTTTTATATATATAGATTATAAAAAAACTGAAGATGGTATATTTATCTTTTCCAAACTTCTATTGACATCACGTCGCTCAATTGTTTTGCCTTCCCAGAATCTCTCCACTAACATTTGAAATTTATGGTATGGTATTAAAGTTCAAATTGACTTTAAAGTATTATTACGAATCGTTTGTATGGGAGTAAAGAAAAGTTTTGTTTTTTGACATTTTCAGGCATTTTTTTTTAATTTTTCTCTTTGTAAGAACCATCCTCGTACTTCAAGGAATATTCTAAAAAAAAATCAGCCAAATCGGTCAAGCCGTTTTCATGTTATGTCGTGACAACGGAAAACGGGTTTCATTTTTATATATACAGGGTGTAAAAAAACCTATAACGAAGTCGAAGACCACGTATTCTCCACATCATGACGATCATTTTTTTCTTCTGGACCATACCTGGGAAATTTATGGTTATGGAGATATTGAAGGTCAAAGCCAAAATATTTTTTTCAAGATTTATACATTAATATTTTCAAAACGTTATTTAGAAACTTTTTTATCGACGCACTTACACACACGCACATATATACACACAGGCACATTGTTTGCGTAGCGCCACAGTAAAACGCCGCGCTATACATTGCGTACTGGAAAAAAAATGTATTTTTTTTAACTTAAAAATACAAATTTTTCCCACCTATAATATTTTGTAATATGACTTGTTTGGGTGTACAGAATGCGTAGTTTAAGTTTTTGTCATAAGTTTTTTTACACCCTGTATAGATATATTGACGACCTCCGAGACAGAGTGGTTTGTACGCCGGGTTTCACGGTGTCGCCGACTCGAGAGGTCCCGGGTTCGAAACCGGGTGGGGGCAGATGTTTGTGTGATGAATACGAGCATTTGTACTCCAGTCATGGATGTTAAAATATGTATTTCTATGTAAATATACTAATATATTTACAGTATATGTATTCTATCCGTTACCCTAGCATCTTATAACACAAGCCTTACAGTACTAACTTTAGGGCTAGGCTAATTGGCGTGAGTGTTGAAAATATTTATTTATTTATATTTATATGTCGAGCTCCACGGGGACGATGGCGGTGGCGATCCTGATCTCGAAAGCTGCATCAGAATTACCAAAGCCAAGGGCCATCGAGTTGCCCGAGACAGTAGGGGCGCGCGCGGTCGCGGTTCCGGTTAGGGAGGCGGGCCGGCGGCTTGGAGAGCCCTTGAGGAGGGTTCTTGTTGGGGACTGCGGGGGAGGGCGTCGGTGGCTGGGAAGCATTCACTTTATGCCATACGTTGGGTGCGGGGGGCGCGAGTATGGTAGTGGGGCGGAGGGAGATCGTTCCCTGAGCGAGAGGTGCCGCGGGCTCGCGTGCGCCGGTCATTGCTCTCTGTGGGGTTTTAGGGCAGCCGCGGTAGATCGCGGTATGCTGGCCGCCGTAGAGAACACAGCCCGGCGGGTTTTCAGGTACCGGGACCCTCAGCCGTGGGCAATCCTTCGTCCCGTCGTGGAGCGTGCACTTGACGCACCGAGCACGGGTGAAGCAGAACCGGGCTGAGTGTCCATATAACTGGCAGTTGTGGCATTGTCCGACAATGCCACGCTTTAGTGGGGGCTCCACACGGACATTCGATATGTGGCAAATGGTCATAGATGAATAGATTTTCTTCCCCTCGGGGGAAAGATCGAGTATGAACAAGAAGAGGTCATAAGGTTGCCTGTCCTTAGTGAACAGGCGGTTCACTGAGTGCGTGGGAAGGCCTTGGGACTTAAGGTTCTCTAGGATTAGGTCCGTGTCGAGCTCCCTCGATAAGCCGCGGATGACGACGCGTAGAACTCTCTCCTCGGGAAGGGAGTATGTGTGGAAGCCAATCCCGGATTGCGGAGGAAGGCGCTGTGGAGTCTGGGACTTGCACCTTGATACCGGTCGCGGTGGTGCGTGCGTGGGTGTAGTTGATGTGTCTGTCGGTCAGTACTTTCGACAGATGATTCCAGGACTCAAAGTCCTGGATAAAAATCGAAGGCGGAGGGCCGGTGGAGTGCGGGCTGGCTGCGGGCCTGGGCCGCGCGGAGCCACTGTCGGCTTTAGCGGCTTTCGGCGGGGGATTGCATTCTTCGGAATCGCGGGACGGGAGGCGGATGGTGCAGAAGGCACTTTGGTGGTTTGTGCGCTCACCATCCCCTCCTCTTAATGGCATCCTCAAGCATCATACCGCGGTCTCTCAAGTCAGCGTTCTTCAATGCTAACGGTCTCTCCAGTCAGAGTGCGGAAATTGTAAAATTTTTAGTAGATCATGCGATAGATATATTTTTTTAATACAAGAAACGTATTTAAAACCGTCCATTTGTGGCCCGCGCATTGCCAACTACAACCTAGTCCGGATCGATAGAGATGGCCGCGGCGGTGGCACTCTCAACTACTACAAGCGGCCTCTGCATTGTTCCCCGCTTGTCCCTCCCACTCTGACTGATCTAGAAGTCTCCGTCTGTCGGCTAGGTATGACCGGGCATCGATCGGTCACGATTGCATGAGCTTACCTGTCCCCCAACAAAGACCTCACCCAACCAGACCTAGAGGCCCTGTTTGCTATGGATGACGCCGTCGTTATTGCCAGCGACCTCAATAGCAAACATGTGCAGTGGAGTTGCAACACAACCAACCATAACGGCAGGTTGCTTTCCCACTTCTTTGACACTATGGTGTTTGACATCATAGTGCCCCTCACAGCCACCCACTTCCCATCCCAAGCAGGTCACACTGCTAATCCCCTAGACATGGCCTTACTAAAGAACGTAGCCCTTAGGCAGCGTTTGATAGAAACGGTTCATGAACTCTCCTCCGACCACCGCCCAGTTGTCTTACAATTGGGCCCTGCCTCTGACCTCCCATCCTCAAGGACAGTGACGAACTGGAGGAGGATCGACTAACTACTCGAACTCTCCACCAGCTCGCCACTCAACTCCACCCCCGACCACATAAACTCCACTCAGGGCACCCTCTCTGTAATCGGAGCCCTCTCTAGCCATCTCACATCTCACCACTAGGACATTCGACACCTAACCTACGAACGACAACCGCTCCCGATTGCGTGCTGTTAAGGCGCGCATGAAGGAATGCGGGAGTCAAAGTGGGACGAACTACTTGAAGAGATCTCGCCATCACACCAAGCTTATTGGAAGCTGGCGAGATCCTTCAAGTCAGAGGTCGAATCCTCTATGCCTCTCCTAACCAAACCTGACCGATCGATCGGTGCCGGATGCCTGGCCGACATCCTGAAGGGCGCAGTGCTGGCCTAGCACTCTCCCAGTCCCTCTCGAACACGTACAGTTAGTGGACTCGGAAGTCGAAAAGTCCTCCTCCGTACCGCCCACCGCCACCCTTGAGCCGGTCACCGTAGATAAGGTGCATTCGTTAACCCGTTAACTGCGCCCGCGTAGAGCCCTCGGGTCAGACGGAATCTCTAGTAAGGTCCTTAAGATATTACCCACCCAACTCCTTTACCTTATCACCGCTATCTTTACCGCGGCTATGACAAACGCGATATTCCCGCAGAGTGGAAAGAGGCCGTCGTTATCGGGATCCGGAAATCCGATACGGACGGCGCATTACCCTCTAGCTACCGCCCTATTAGTCTCCTCAAAACACTGGGGAAACTCTACGAACGCGCTAGCCGCCTTAAAGATTTTCTCTTCACGAACAATCTCATTATGAACGAACAGTTTGGTTTCCGTCCCAAACACTCGTGTGTCCACCAGCTGCACCGCCTAACGGAGCACATCTTCCATTACCGCGATCTATATCCCGCCTACC